CTCGAAACGCCTCCAAGGCGATGTTGTCGCGATGGCGATGTTACGCTCTCCGCCCGAGCGGTCCGTGGGGGTCATTCCCTCGTTCATGATGTCGTCTTTCAACTCGATGGGCGCAACGTCGTCGCACCGAAAGCGTCTTAGCGGCGTTCGGCAGTGATTGGTTCTACCGCCGTTGTCGTAGCTCCTCGGCGTGCTCTTGTGCGAAGGTGCGAGGGCCCTCGCACGCTTCCACCCCGGAGGGGTGTGAGTCTACAAAGACTCCGCAACCACCGGCGGCTGTCCCAGAGTGTCCGCCATAGCGCACTCCCGGGACGAACGGTGGCTAGGTGCCACATCGCCGATGCTGGAGCCATCGCTCTCAACCTCGTCATCCAGGAGTTCGTGGAAAGTGGTGGGAGCATAGCTCGCCATTCCCACGAATTCGGATGTGAGAGGGGCGGCGCCATCGCCTCCCTTCCGGATCCCCGAAAGCGCATAGCCGCTATTCGGGGACGCAAGGCTCCGCGGGGGACCAACAGACGATGTTTGCGGTGTTGCGGTGCGACAATACGGTCCCTCCGAATAATCGGTGGGGGATAGTACATAGAGAGTAAATAACAGTATGCATATTACTCACAGCAGGGTTTGAGCAGAGAGTTTACTTGGAATGAAGCGCAGGAGCCTTGTCGTTGAAGTCGTCGTGCGTCCCAGAGCCGATGGAAGGCGCCCCTCCGATGGGCGCCGGAATAAGTGCCTCCTCGCGGAGGTGTAGTACGCCGAGCCGGTCGGCGATGAAGCCCAGGCTTCAAAGAGGAAGGCATGGGATGGCTCGAAGATGGGCGGAACCCACATCCCCATAGGTGGGAGTGCGGAAAACTCCAGTGAGCCGAAGCGAGTCGTATTGCTTGAGCCCGCCATAGCGACGGTGGCGGAAAAGTGGGCCATCCGATGACCAAAAAGTGTGAACGTATAGCATCTTCCCCACGGACGACGCTAACTGTCGGTGCAGAAAGTGACTCACACGTAAATATTTGTAGTTTAGCTGTACGTTGTGATCGGAGGTGGCCTAGCACTCAATGACACAGGGTTTATACTGGTTTAGACAACGTGCCCTACGTCCAGTTTGAGTCGGTCGGTGACTTTATTCCTAAGCCTAGGTGCTCGAAATTTGTTGTGGGGTTACAAACGAAAAGGAAAAAAATGGGGGTATAAGAAGTCCGCCAAGAGTGACGGGAGCTCCGCTATGTGCTAAGTGTTCGAGCATGTGCTCTGTATAACTTTAGAGTGTCTAAAGTTACAGAGGGTGAATCAATGTAAATGAACTGATTGATCTATCTGTTGGGAGAGAGCGCGTCCCTTTTTATAGATGAAGGGGATGGCCTTACAAGTGAGAGGGAGAGAGTGTACGTATACTAAGTCTTGTTGCTCACGCCTGTCGGGTACAAAATGATTGTAGGCGCCTATAACACTGTTAATGTCAAATGCATGTGGGAGGTTGCGTCGTCTTCTTCTGGTATGGCAGATGTCGGTGCTTCTGCTATACTGTTGATGCCGAGAAGTATGCAGGGGGTTTTACCATGTTCACCTGGTACGGTAAATGTTGGCGCCCATAACACTGTTGATGCCCAGAGGCATGTGGGAAGAGCCTTACCGTGTTTGTCTGGTATGGGAGTTGATGGCACCCACAACACTGCAGGGAAAATATCGGCGCCTACAACACTGCTTGGGAAGGTCGTAGGGTAATGTCCTACAGGTGTATATGGTACAGTCCTTGGTATTGCAGTTGACTTGAGTGCCTTGCTTTACTTTCTTCGTTCGTTTCTTGGTCCTTACCGAGCGGGCGTCCCCGGTCGGTTGGTCCTAGTCGGCTCTGATTGCGCCAGTTGGAGAAGAGCTATGAGCAGGGGTTCGGCGCATCCCCGGTCGGGGACGTGGGTCGGAGTCGGAAGTGGTGTTTGGCCAGGCCCTTCGGTCGGAGGGGCTGTCCGGAGGCGGGCCGGAGTCGGAAGTGAGGCCTTCCGGTCGGAGAGGCGGGCTAGAGTCGGAAGCGGGCGCCCTTCCTCCTTGGCCAGGCCTTTTAGTCGGAGACTGGATCGCATTTCTGTCCTGTCGTTTAGGTATTTGGGCCGGCCCATGAGTTGCGCGTCGTTTGCGACGTCGTCTGCTGGACCGAGCCTTTGTTGAAAAGCCGGTTTATAAGGGACTCCGGGTTTACGAACCCGACAACTCCCAATGCAGAAACTAGTATGGTTTCTATCTCGATTAATTAGCTGGCTGTAGACATTTTGCTAATGTGGCAGCCAATTTAATGAGGAGAGAAGGGAAAAAACTTAGAAACAACGTCTAACTTAGAAACGACGTCCACACGTGCGACGAGGCAGTCGAAACCATCTTATACAACATTGGGAAGGAGGGCTTCGTTTCCATCAGGCAACTGGGGATCCTGTGCGCACCACCGGTGGGAGCTCACATCGCCGGTGAAGCAGAAGCACCGCTCGTGCGGCCGCTGCCGCGGACCTCGCACGGACGCAATCCCCGCCGCGACGTTGCACGGACGCGACCTCCTCGCCTTCTGCACCTCGCGGCCCTTGCTTCTCGTCGCCCCCAGCATCCCTTCCCGCGCGCGCCCCGACCCTGCTGAGCCCGCCGATCAAGACGTCGCCGAGCACAAAACGCCAATCCGCGCGGACGCCGCCGAGCAGACCCCGACCCACCCACAAGAATTCTGCCCATGGCCCGACGCCGCCTTCCCTGCCATGGCTCGACACCCATCCTAAATATGTCAGCTTAGGCGAAAACTCTAACGCACGCAAAGCTCATCCTCGCTGCCGCCCATGGACGCGACTGACGGGGGGGCTTCGGCTCAGCGCTGGTGGAAATTGCGTCGTCTCCTAAGAACCGTCGCCTGCGTTGCTTGCTTGCTTCAGCGTTGCTCGAGTGATTAATCTCATCCGCGGTTTCTTGCTTGCTTGCTCAAAGCTTGCGTTGCTTGCTTGCTTGTGAGGACGCAGCCGCCGGTGCTTTACTTGCAAATAAAGATGGTCCGCCTCGCCACGAACGCCGCAGAGCTTGCGCAGGTCGCCGCGGAGGTCTCGAGGCTCGCTGCAGAGCTCGCACAGCCTCACCCGCGGAAAATCCGCGGAACTCCTACAAAACTGGAACACACACCGCCATAGTTTCCGACGCGTGAAACCTTGATATTCCTCCGGCCGGTTCCGCGTGAAACCATATTCCTCCGGCCGGTTCCTGCCGGCTGCCGGTGCCAAGTCCCCATCGTCCCGTACGGGGAGCTGGAGCCCTGGTATCTGGCCAGTGGCGGCTCCATCAGTTGCCGGTTTCAGCGGGGGACACATGAGGGGTGTTGATGCGTGCGTGTGATCGATCCGGTTAGCTTTTCTTTCTGTCATCTTCAGGTCTGAAATGAAAACGCCTGAAGGCGACCGCGTTCAGTGATCCCAAACAGGTCTGCAAGGCTAGTGGCCCGGCCAGTCGGCCACTTGGCGTCATGCCCGGTACGTAACCCACCGTAAATCGCCAAAGCTGGCATAATTGCGGTTAAATTTCCTCGAGGAAGCGCGTCAAAATCAGTGGAATCATTGACGGAGCTACTCCTCGCTGATTGAAAATTTCATTAAGTAGCTATTAAACTGATAGATTAAAATTAATAATAAGTATACATATTAAGTAAGAAATTAGTGCTGATGGTCCCTCTTGTTTCACCATCAAGCTCCGCCACTAAGTGAAATTTTCGGTACAGGACTAGAGACCGGCAATAATGCAGATGTTTCGGCGCAGTCTCATTGAAATTACCCTCTCTCTCTCTCTCTCTCTGCTTTTCAGACCGCTAATGAAAGGTTGGAATTATTTGCTTCCGTAAAAGAGGAAACTTCGGCTTGGAGCGAACTTTGCTTCGTTGTCACGTCAAGGAAGCAGATAGAGTTATCCAAGCCGAGCAAGGTCATCATCGGTGTCCAAGTGCCACTGCAGAAAACCAGGCCTCCGTATTCTTACGGTCTTACCTCGACCGAAGGGCAGGGGCAGCCAAATGGCCACACACACGGGAACACTGAGCCTTGTCACTGTCAAGACGTTAATCATGATAGCTCAGTGGTTAGTCCGACTTGTTGCTGGATAGGTCACGGAGTTAGCTGATGTGTATGTTTGTTCTTTATTGAAAAAAAAGTGATTTTGAGAAAAGAGTGTTCGAGCGTACGACTAAATTCGAATGTTTTGGGAGAGCCCACTGAAAAAAGGCCCATGTATAACGGCGTAGTCGCTTCCCTGGATGCTGGCTCCCGTCTCTGCCCAAATTATAAGATTACAGGTAGGGTCCAATTTCTGGTTTTTGTGTGTGCATATCATGTATCAGTAATGGAAATTGTTATTTCCTCTAAAAACACATTTAAAATGGTTCAACTGACATTCCAGATCAGGACGCAGCCCGAACGGCCGAACAAGATCATATCAAATACGCCACTCAAATCTCTTCTCTCGACAGAAATTCAGGCTTGGGCGCGTTTGGCCAGGCTCCCGCCGGCTCTGGCTCCCATACTATAGCGCGCAGGAGCCGGAGCCGGAGGAGAAAAAAATAAGCTTCTCCTGCTCCGGCGCTATCAGTGAGAGAGGAAATAAGGAGAAAAAAAACAACTCCGATAATTAGTGTCACTACAGGAGATGAACAGGGAGGAGTCAGAGGAGTTGGAGCCGCTCGGAGCCTGGGCAAACGGGCTCTGTGCAGCTGAGGCACGCGCTATTTTTGTTCAGATCTCGTCAGAAATTCAGACTACTCGATCGAAAGAGAGGGAGGTGATTGGACTGCAATTTCACATACATAAATAATTATTATAGCATTACAAATTATGATATTACAGCAGAGCCACATAATGAAAAACCAACAAACGAATCACAACATCCCATCCCCACACATAGTTCTATCAGTAGAACAACACTCGACGCTTGATTTCCCTTCCAAAAACCCATGGTTCTCAGTTCAATTTGTCTCAGGCCGATGACACCATCCTTCAGACCTGGAATGGCCAGGGCCAGGTGCCGGCGCCGCCGTCCTCGCCGCCGACCTTGGCGCTGCGGCGCATCGGGTTGCCGCCGCACTCCCTGTCGACGTAGACGTAGTACCTGAGCACGAAGGCGAGCGCGAGCGCGACCCACTCGAGGCAGAAGATGGCGACGCCGAGGCCGCCGACCATGCGGAGGATGACGGCGCCGTCCTCCTCGCGGACGTACGACCTGAGCCCGTCGGAGAGGAACTCTGCGGTGCGGGAGAAGGCGAGCACGGCGGCGGCGCCCTGCAGGATGGACACCACGACGGTGGCGGACATGTGGACGGTGTAGCAGCGGCCCCGCGGCGGGTCGGGCGCCGCGATGACGGCGCACCCGGCCACGGCGGCCGCCACGGTGAGCGCGTGGAGCAGGACGAGGAGGAAGCCGTCCACGGAAGGGACGAGGCGGAGCGAGAGCGTCAGGAAGCCGCACCCGGAGGCGCAGCCCAGGATGAGGTAGTTGGAGACGAGGAACGCGCGGCGCGCGCGGCGGTGCTGCGGGGACGCCGAGTCCCTCGCCGGGGGCGCGATCACCGAGAGGCCGCCCATGGTGCGAGGGAGCTTGGAGAGGAAGGAGGAATGGGAGGCGCGCGTGGGGCTTGCCGGTGCGAGGAGAGGAGAGTGGAGGAGGGCAGTGGAGTGAGGCGAGGAGGAACGGCGTGGCGGAGAGGTTTAAACGGGGGTCGGGGCATTGGATTCGACCGTTTGAGGAGGAGACGGGGACGAGGGCGACCGGGCAAGGCGACGCGAGCAACGGCTAGTTTGGAAAGCGAGGGACTAGCTGGCCGTTGGAGGCGTGGCGTGGACTGGAGCGCGCCGGGCCCGCGTGTCGGTCGCGACGCCACGCAGCAGGGATCTTCCCGTTGCTGGTTGCTTTCCCGTTGCTTGCGCTCTGAACACCGAGTCACCGACAACTTCTCGTGGGCCCGCTTCGGAATTCGGAAAAGAGAAGCTTCTCGTAGTCGTTTTGCCAGTTGAGCCAATTCATACGCCCCTCCTCATATGTTCTCTACTCCATCAAAGCCGATGACACTTCACTAGCTTGGATGAGTTGGTGATGAAACAATGCTCAGAAATTGTTGTAAAAAAAAAGCTCAGAAATTTGATCCTAGATCCTTCCTGCTTTGCTATCATGCAACCACTGTTTACAGTACGTCAAGATGGTCTCTCGGTTGCATACTGGGGATCCGAGCAAAACAAAAGGTTTTCTACATAATCGCAAATCCTCTTTTTTTTGTGTGTGTAATAAGGTAAACACAGCCCTCGTTGCTAATTTATCCAAAAAGAAACCGGTGTGATTAGCTTGTTTTGATTTGGAGATGGTAATGATAATCATCGCTGTTAACTATCCAAATTGCTCATGTAATTATCCGAGCTGAACACGCCTGAGAAGATTAAGGCCACATTTGACACAACTCAAGTGAAGCTTCTTAAAATCCGCTCTCAAAGGAAATGGACGATGGATAGAGTTAAAAATACAGTTTCTCCTAGCTTCCTCCCTCCTATTTACTATGAGAATTGTTTTATCAAATATTTTTCTAAAATAACTTTTGTTTCACCAGTGAAGCTCTACGACCTAAACGTTAGGCTTTAGCTTCCTAAACACGACTTCGAAGATTAATACCACATTTGGTACAACTCTCATAGGGAGGGAGAGCCACATAGAGTTAAAAATAGTAGCTTCTCCTATCTTCTCTCTCCTATCCTATGAAAATTGTTTACCGAACCTTTTCTCTCAGACAACTTCAACTCCACTACGGCCTGAATGTTGGGCGTTCGCTTCCTGATATCGCAGAGTGGCAGTTGATCAATCCAGGGATACACGTAACATGTTGTGCCAACTTTTTTGTTTTTTAATTCTTTTTTCAAAAATAATATTCACATTTATATCTAGGAGACCTATTTTCAAATTTGGACCCTAGGGATGGGCACCACAAGCCATGGCGACTATCGATGAGGCCTGAGTGGTGTGGCGGGACGACGTGGCGCTAACACGGAGCTTCTAATTTGAGCTCAGCGCCAAGATTCATAGCGACTCCATGTTGTGCTGCTACTGTGCTACGCCACCCAGGCCTTGACGCTCGGTGGTAGCCGCTATGGTCTATGGCGCCGAGGCATGTTACCTCAACGCCATAATCTTTGGCACCCATCCCTGGGTCCAAATTCGAAAATAAATCTCCCCGGAGATGTAAATTTAAGCATTAAAAAAAAGAAGTTTAAAAACAAAAATTGGCATAGGGAGCCCACAGAAGTGATGACTGATGAGTAATGGATGATACTAGGCCTAGAACAGGAACGAAGAAAAGACTATTGTACTTCCACGAAACAAAACAAAAGTGATGACTGATGAATGCTAGGCCCAAAATAGGTGAAAGAAAAAGACGAAAAAAACCTATGGCACTTCCACAAAACAAAACAAAACAAAACAAAACAAAAGTGATAACTGATAAACGCTATTAGGCCCAAAATAGGTGAAAGAAAAAGAACTATTGCGCTTCCAAAACAAAAGACCACAAGTGGTGACCGATGAATGCTACTAGGCCCAGAACAGGACCGACTAAATAAACTATTCCACAACAGGAATGAAAAAAAAAAAAAAGAAGATGACTGATAGATGCAGACCCAGACATGAACGAAAAAAATAAAAAAAATGCAGGAAGAAAAAAAATCTATTGCGCTTCCAAAACAACAGACCAAAAGTGGTGACCGATGAATGCTACTAGGACGGGAGGCGCGCTCCGCTGCGCCCGCCCCAGTCCAAGCTGAAACTAAACACAATAGAAGGCTGCCGAAAAGCATAAACTATTTTTTTTAGCTAACTGCTGATTAGAGTCAAGATGGTTTCATGTGCAGTGGACCAAAAATATTGGGAACCCACGACATGGCCATCCATATATGTAAAAGAACTGACAAAAAAATGGCAAATAGAATAAAAAGAAGTATCTGTAGGCAAACAATACATGACGTGCTGGGACATCTAAAGGTCTAAACATACATGTTAAATCGGTGCATGAAAATAATAACAACAAATGATCATCTTGAAAAAAAAAGCATATCATGTGTCTAATATATCCTTTGTTTATCCATGTCCATAGTAATCTTCTCTATATGTTCACTGTCCAGCCTGTAAAGCTAGGCACCGAGTCCTATATTTCTTACTGCAAAATTCCAGAAAAAAAGGTGAGAAGCACAGATAAACAGTAGGCATATGCTTACCGAGTTAGAGATGTTAATGTTACACGGAATTAGACATGTTGTTGACGTTGCACGCTGCAAAAGCAATAAAATCATATTGATCATATAAACGTGAAAAGGGGGAATTGATATGAAAGCGAAGGTAAGCAAAAGAGCGACAATAATACTAACCAAACATGAATGCCCTCACTTAATTTATTATGACATGGAAAATCGAGGCAACTCAGAATGGGAAAGTTTTTGGACTGGAAGTTGTTTCCTTTTGGTTAACTAATTTAGTATTGTAATGAAGCAAAGGCATATATAATCATATCGATAAGAAATTAAGAATCAATGGTTTCCATATTCTAGCTGCAAATTAGTGGTTTCCATAAGATCACAAGAGCAATGAAGTTTATTGTAGTTGTGCACAATAATTAAATAACAAATATGAGAGAGATATCCAGAGACTACTGACTGTATTTTGTCATGAATCTATGTACACTGGCAATGAAATTAGATGCACAGGGGCATTGGCACTCAGCCTGCTGAAGAAAACGATAACATGGAGCAATATTTGGATTTACTGATCTATCTATTTTTGTTCCAGCCCATACAGGGATACCATTAGCACTCCACCGTAGAAACGAACCTATTTAAAATTCATTCATATGCATGCTCTCTAAATTATGGAAACGATCTAAGCATGTCAATAGAAGCGCATCGTATATGACAAAGATGTACCTTAGCATATCCATTTGCAGTACTAACAGTGACATAATCAGGAAAGCATAATTAAGTCTTACATTAGCAAATAAAGAAAGAGAACGAAATGAATAAGGCATCTAGGATATCACTCTATTATCTAGTTCACCCTTAGATGGTTCTGAAGAGCCTGCAAGGACTGTCCAGTTTACACAAGATCTTTGCCTGTTTAATATAATAGCTAGTGATGGTACTTTTGGACTGGATACATATGTCACCTATAACATAGTACTTTTTGGAAGTTACTTCTGACATAACTCTCTATTGCCATATTGGCATCTTAGATAGCATAATAAATAAAATCAAGAAATCACATGTAATCACACAGAGCTAATGCTGAGGTTGTTAATGAGAAACACTTGCTTCAGTCGTCACAAGCTTCAGGTAAATCGCGGCCAGTATGCGTATGCTAGCAGCACTGAAGGGAAACATCGCTATAAATTTTCCCTTTTTTCATCCATCTAAAGCCAACATGAAGACCGAATGCCTGGTCTTCTCCATGGTAATATGATTAAATCTGATAGCCATCGCTTGGTGATGACCGTATGGAAAGCAAGTAGACTGAAGCTGAACTAAAAAGTGGAGGGAATATAACTTTAGAAATCTAAACATGTGTTTCTATTTAAGGTTGGGCACACATAGTTGTCAAATATTAGGTTGTATAGACTACAGTGTTAGGAAGAGGAAAATTTATTTCAGGTCTGCCTAATATATACCACCCTGTAACTGCAAAGGTAAAATAACTGTTGAACTTTAATACATTGTTCTGAGTGTTTTGCTAGCAGCAGTGCATTTGCGTAGATAAATTGGTTCAAAGCATTCGATACCACAGAAGATTGCTCATATCGAAAGCAATAAAATTTGAGTAAGGCTATATCCCCTAAGACCAAAGAAAAGAACGACGAATCTTTGCAGTGAGAATTTTCTATATAGCCTACATATTTATGTATTTAAGATTTTACTAAACAGGAGTTCCTTGTTAAGATTAACATAGGACCAATTGAATGAACATAGGGTGAAGTTCCAGCATCTACAAATCTTTCAAAAAAATAATAAAAAAAAGCTACAGCATCTAACATAAACTGGAATGGCAAGAATATTTATGTAGTGTTGCACAGTGGTTTGAGAATGGAAGAAAGCAGGTGCAATATTACATACATCCATCTAAACAGTAACAATCCTTACCATTCCTGAATGCCCTGTTGAGGTTCTCAATAAGGTTCTGGATCTATTAAGTGGAGCATATTGTACAGATTAGTAAGAGCTGTTACGAAATTAGCCTGGTAGGCTGAAAAATCAAAGACCAAACACAGGATCTAAAACCATGTTAATGGCGGCTAAGCACTTGATCAGAATTGAAATAGCCTGCAATAGATGCTGCATGTAGATAAGTACATTAGATATGCCGAGAAAGAATAGTGTACAAAGGAAGCTTATTTGTTATCTAGAGAAATCGTAGAGCACCTGGTGGTGGTGGTGGTAGACCGCCTCGAGTCTCTCGTAGCTAGAGATCTCAATCAGGCAGGGCGTTCCCTGATTCCCTGTGCCATCGCCCGCACGGTGGCGAGGCCCCACAAGGCAAGAGCATGTGTATGAGGCGGCCGCCCCCA